TTCTTAACATATATTGCATTATTTGTTTCAGAGGTACAGATCTGAGATTCAACAGTCTTGCACAATTCACAGTGCTTACCACAGCACATACCCTCTAAAGGTACACTTTAAAAACCAAATAAGGAGGAGAAGAAAGTCTAAAAGGACCTAAAAGATACATCCAAACCTCCCAACTGGGAAATGAAAAACCTTTAATGTTTTCTATTCCGTGTACTCTAAGCTTTAAACCATTTTGTTCTTAGACCATGGTTTCTGCTGTCATATTGGGAACCATGACTATGGGAGAAAGGAGATGGGGATCGTGTGCAGGCAGTGAGACGTTCCCTCACGGAAACATTTGGACAAAAGGTTGTTAGGTTCATCACGCTCGGGAGTCTCACTCCTGCTCTTTGATAGCATAAACACCCAGAGGGCCTCCTTCACCACGTCAGTCCCCCAGATCACAGGCAGCCAAGTGATCTTCCAAAGACCCACTAACAGGTCCTTCTGACTAATAGCATGGAAAGTTCCCACATCATGTTTCTCATCCAAAGCATTTCTAGATGACAACATTCATCAACGTTGCTTTCCATGTAGCTTTTCCAGCTTGCACACTACTACCAAACAGCACATGGCTAGTTATGCCCTCCATTCTTGAAGAGTCCAAAGCTGCCCCCTGCCTCTGCGTAAAGTCCAAATCCCTCGACCTCGTATGTGAGACTCTGTAACACAATAAAGGCTGCCTTTTCAGCTGTCTGCCTCAACTCTTCTGTGCTTGATACAACTCAGGTATCTGCTATTCCTCATAAACACCCTAGAGCTTCCCCTGTCTTATTTGCTCAAGGCACTTCTTCCACTTGGAATACTCTGTCCCTTCTCTGCCCATTCGATTCCTACTCAATGTCAAAAGCCAGCTCGAAAACTTGGCCCCAAATGTAGCTATTTATATACATGCTTTCTCCCTCCTTTTAAATGATGCGATACAGTACATATGCAGCTAATTTATTCGTAGCTGGTGCTCAATAGATTGAGTCGGGTAAGTGGATAAATCTCATGCGTCCACACCACAGTCTCCTGAGGCAGGAAGGTGCAGTGGGGTCTCATTGGCAGCCCTGCCCAGTGTCAGTTGGTGAATCGGTATTGATTGAACAAGAGCAAGAGCATTGTCCTTTTTGCAGTTTGTTCTTTGCAACTGGTCTGTTTTTCTCTAATTTGTGGCACAGGGCCTTAATCCTCTTTCCCCCATTGAATATACACATCCATCACATCAGTGCATAGTTAGAAAATTGTGTCCTTGGGATTTACAAAGTTTTGAAATACTAATAGTACAACTGGGTTTCCTGGAAGATGTTACCGTTCTTACACTGTTGTGTGGTTTAGAAGAAGGCAAGGAAGACAAATCCCATATAAAAAGTCAAGATCCCAGATGGAGGACAGAGGCTCGCCCTATGAAGGGAGATGGCCAGCTCCGCCTCAGATGCCCAGCGTGGCGATCTTGATGAACGACCCGCGCCATTGCTCCCCTGGTGCCCTCCTTAACTGAGTGCACTCCTGAAGTGCGACTGCAGATCTGACCTCATGAAATCCAACGAGCTGGGCGCCCGGGGCCGCTGAGGCATGAGTCTGCATTTCCCCAGTCCGTGCAACAGAATTGGAGCCGTGCACAGCCCAGTTGGGGCGGGGGCGGGGGTGGGGCCGGTGGTGGGGGTGGCAGGCAGAGACTATCTGGTAGCCAAGGGCCCTGCTGGGGCTTTAGAATAACAGCACGAGGTTGTAATCGGATGCCATTTGGGGACATTTAGCCAGTTAATCCTCTCAACCAGCCATCTTTTATTCATAAACACGGAGGAACAACGTTCTCTCTGCTGCTCACTTTGCCCTTTCAGGTTACACCAATATCGTGCCGTTCCAACTTTCCCCTTTGGGTCACAGAAAGTGCACCTGGCACTGTGTAGGCATCTTGTCCCCACGGATGTCCACATGAGTCCTGCACCCGGGTGGACGGAGCACAGTTGCTCCCAGAGCCGTTGTGAGCATTTGCGGTTTAAGGGCAAGGCTTAAGTAGCTCTTCCTCGAACCTCAGTAAGACAGTACATGCACCATGTACTTGGCAGGACTTGGTCTTACCACCCCATAGCCCTCACTGTCATCCCAATTATCCATTTTCTTCCAGCCTTGAAGGAGAAGATTCAAAAGGGTAGGATTATTTGTTTTAGGTCTCAAATGTTGAAAATTCAACATTACCAAATCAATCAAACTTCAGCAGCGGGGAGCCCGGTCACACTGCGCGGCCACATCACTCCACAGAGTTCACATTTCTCCTTCCTTAACCCTAAGTGAGCAGACCAGTGATGATAACAAATTACCTGTGGGCAAAGACTGTTTTACTCATTAATCTGCACCCCCCCCCAGGCTCCCCCTTGTTACCCGATACCCATGTATATAAAAGGGATTAAGAACAAAGGTTTTGGAGTCAGATTTCTGAGTTCTGCCCCCACTGGCTACACAGCCTTCAGGAATCTCTCTGGACCTCGGTTTCTTCATCTGTAGAGTGAGAATCATAATAGTACCAGCTCACACAATGAATATGATAATTAAGTGAATTAATGCATGGAAGGTACTTAAATAAATGCAGATGTCAGCTGTGTTTTGCATGGTCTTGAATTTAACTATGATCCATTATTTTGGAGGGTTTTATGGATCCTTAGTTCATGGCATTGGTTCACCTGTAATAAGAGTGAAGGAACACCCATTGTATCTTTATTTTTTTTTAATGTCCAAATCTCTAGATTAGTGATTTTCAAAGTGTGGTCTGGGAACTGCTGGGACTCCCCAGAAACCAAGACCCCCAGGACCCAAGTCCTTAAGGTCAAAACTATTTTTGTAACAACACTAAAATGTTATTTACCTTTTTCAGTCTCATTCTTTCCTGAGTGTAGAGTGGAATTTTCCAGAGGCTCCATGCTATGTGATGATGTCATCACTTAACATTTAATGGAACGTGAGCTTGCACATTCTTGTATGTGTGGGTTTTCTTTTTTTATATTCCTCAGTTATTTCCAATACAATAAATAGCAATAGGTATAACCCACATAAACAAATCTCTTCGGGGTATTCAGTAATTTTTAAGAGTTTAAAAAGGTCCTGGGACCAAGAGTTCCGAGAATCTCTGCTGGACTCTCTCAAATTAAAATCTCCTCCATTTCAAAATCTGGAATGCGAACCCCAGACTCTGCCCTTAACTTTGAGGCGCTGCCCAGAGAGTTGAGGACCCGAAGCTGAGCTGCCTGCCTTGTGTCCTTGTGTGTTTCAGACTGTCCGGGTCCAACTTCCCTGGCGAGGAGTGGCTGTGGAGTTACGAGAAGCACGGCCACCGCCGTTCTGTGATTAGGAGAGTCAAGAGGTTCCTGAGTGCCCACGAACACCCCTCCAGCCCCCAGAGGAGAAGCTACGGCCGGCAGGCCAGTGACAGCTCCATGTTCTTTCCCCCAAGTGGTGAGGTCAGCCCAGCCAGGGATTTGCTGGATGTGCCCTCGAGAAGCCCCCACCGTGCCTCAGGCACCCAGAAGCAACCCTGCTCCCCAGAGGGGAGCAGTAAGCTCTACTCCAGCCTGGGGGAGCTGTCCACCATCAGGGAGACCAGCCAGACGAGCACTTTGCAGAGCCTGAGTCCACAGCCCGGCATGAGGGTCTCCCCCACCAAAATGCCGCAGGTCCCCGAGGTACTGATCACAATGGCTGAGGGACCAGTGCCCGTGTCAGATGGCTCCACCACCTCCATCCAGAGTGCAGATTTTACTGGGGTAGAGCCAAGCAGGACTGGACAGCAGGCGGTCCCTGTGGGATTGATTTCATGCCCCACAGAGAAAGGGACACCTCCTAGGGACCCCAGTCCCCAGATTAGTTCAGCCAAAGATGAAAGAAACGTCCTCACGTTTGCCTCTGGGGAAGACCCTAATGATGACAAGTTCCTGAAAAGGTGGAGCCTTCCGGGGTTCCTGGAGTTCAGCCCCACCTCACCGGCAGGCCTTAGTTCAGACCCCGTGAGCCCTGAGCCCGTTCTTTTACTTGACACAGAAGCATCCTCAGAGACCAGTGGAATCAACATTGTGGCTGGCTCTCGAGCCTCTCCTGATATGCTGTATTTAATGGAAAACCTGGACACCAAGGAAACAGATATCATAGATTTTAACAATGAGCCAGCGGAAGAATCACCCAAGGGAAGACCAGAAAGCTCTAGGACCTGGTTCTAGCCGAGGTTCTTACTTTTGAACTGGTCAATTTTTTAGAAAATGTATAAGCTACTTAAAACTGAAGGGCATTATGATCCTAGCTTCTGAGAACTGTTACAAGGTGACTTTCACGGAAGTCACACAGACCACAGTGACATATCTTAACCAAACAGGGAATCTTAATAAAATATATATATGACTTACAATTCAGAGATTATGTTAGATTTGGAAAGGGCCTTGTAGACGATAGTTCCCCAGTTTTGCCTACCGGGAGACAAGGATGCTCTCCTCCCCACTTTTTCTCTTTTCTTCGGCTCCTCAATCATAAAGAGAGGGAGATGTGTCACACAATGCCACAAAAGCTCATTCCTGATACTGACTCTTTGAGGCTTTCTAACCGTCTCACTCCCACTTTCTAGAACTGTTATCACTTCTTGATTCTTAAGCTTCATCAGCATCACAACCTCCATCTCCCTTCAATTTCTTTTTCTCTGTTTTCTTTTATTCTCTCATCCTTTTATCTTTCCCTTCTACTCTGTCCCACCTTTCAGGTTGTACTATTTTCTCTTGCCAACTCTGCTGCTTACTTTTTGCCCTGGTTTGCAAACAATGACGCATTGGCCGTGCCTCCCACAGGGCAATCAAAGATGACCGAAAGTCCAACCTGACACACTCAGGCCTCCCGGTGGAAGGTGCGTGGGGGCTGACGGCAGCCATTGCCATTCTTTCTGTAGCCACCCTCTGGCCTTGAACACTGGAGAAATCGGAAGCCAAGAGGACAAGGAACCTGCATAACCAAGTGCTTATGGAACCAAAGAATAACAAGGCTTGAGTGGGTTTAACTCGAACTCTTAAGCAAAAATCCCAATCATGTCACAACGTGGGACCAGTTACTGTGTCTGCCAGGTTGTTTGGCATGAGGTAGGATATTGGAGCTGGGAGGTTAAGGGGATCCAGGATGGCACGATGGGGACAGGACGTTGACCAACTCCCTCCAAGGAGTTGTTGAAGATGGCGGTTGGTTGGGGCCTCTGACTTTGTGTGGAGAATGCTGTGTCTCACTATCTCCGTTGTATGATGAAGCTTGACTACGTATGACTTAACAAATAAAGTAACCCTAATTGCTACCATTTATCTAGTACTCACGGGTCCAGGCAGCAGCCTGTAAAGTTCACAGAGAATTTCACTAATCCTCACAGGAATGCTATGGAGAGATCCATTTTAAAGATGAAGAAAACAGAGCCTTTGGAAAAGCAAAATAGTGTGACTAAATCACACAGCCAGAAAGTGGTAGAGCTCGGATTAAAACCCAGGTTTACCCAAGAGTCCAACCTCTTAACCTGTGCGCTCCCTCACTGTGTCATGCCATGTATAAGGCCCTGAATCAGCCAGCAGTTGGCCCACAGTTTTGGAGGATGCCCCAAGGAAGCCATGCCTGAACTTCTCCAGCCTTGGCAGGCCCTCTGGGTCCTCCCTGCCTGAGTCTACCTGGTCTTTTCCTTTTAAGATTGATTTTATTTATTTATTTATTTATTTGAGAGAGAGTGGAGGAGGACAGAGGGAGAGAATCTCAAGCAGACTTCGAACTCAGCATGGAGCCCAATGCGGGGCTCGATCCCATGACCCCGAGACCATGACCTGAGCCACTCATGAGGCTCACGAGACACTCAACTGACTGAGCCACCCGGGCGCCCCTACCCGGTCTTTCATGCATGCATACAGGGAGGGCATTGCTCTCCCCTTGAGCCCAGCCATGGTCCTCTTCATTTTTCTGAAAGAACAAAGGTGGCAGAACCCTCCTCCCCAACTTCTCCCAGCACGCAATGTTATAATTAGCACATTTTTATAAGACACTGCATCTAACTGGGCCACCCAAGCTGCGTGACAGCAGTGACATTTACTTTAACTGGGTTTTCTCAAAAGACTAAAAGGAAATAACATTGGAAGAAATACTATACATTGATGGTTCTCTATGTGGGTCAAGAGTGTTAGCCCCTGGGAAAGGACCAATATTCCCAAAGCATTCGTACGGACTATGCAATCAAGTATATATCATATAATATGATGTAATGCAGCTGAGAGCCAGGAACCCTAACCCTCCCCCAGCCTCTTAATGCTTTTCTTTTGGCTGTTTCAACTTAAGTCCCTCTATTCTCTTCTCTTTGGCTTTAACTATTGCTCAAATTCAAACAAGTTTCTACTTAGCTGCTTTCAAAATATAACCAATTTTTGTTCATAAATCCAAGGTGATAAATTATACACAAACAGAATGTATGATTCTAGGGGTCCACTCTCCCAAACTAGGAAAGTATTCATTCATCTCTGCTTCCATCTACCCCTTATGCACCTTTGTTTAGAAAACTATTTAATTTCCTTAAGATTTCATCAGACTCTGAGGTGGCCTCCCATTTCCTCCTTGCACTGGAAGCTGAATAATGACTCATTCAATGAGCCCATGTGGTTGAATTCAGCTATAAATTCAAGCTAGCAATTGCCCACATCATATGAAGAAATTCTCTATTCATTCTGAAATGAGTTTTTACCCACAAAGACCAAAGCTGCAAAAAAAAAGATTTCTCTGGTGCCTGATTTCATTGCCTGCCTAGCCCATTTTTCCCTGAGCTCTGGAAACTTCTACCCCCTAAATGGCCACCTGGCCTGGTGGCTTATTCTTTTTGGCTTGTCCATTCCCAGAACAGGCTCCGCTGTGCATCAGATGCAATCCTTAAAGCCAGAGAGTGCAACAAGGCCAAGCCCACCCTGAGGCCTTCTCTCTCTGACCTCTGGAGCTAGCTGTGCCCTCACGCCTTCCACAAGTCAGGGAAGGTAAAGGCCCGTGAACTTTTTCTCTGTCATCCAAGAATTCAGGGATGACCGGCCCCCCACAAAACAAAGAAGGCTGTTCTCCTCCCTCTTTAATTATCTCGTGTACTTCATGGCTCATCGCCTCTGCCACTCCAGCCATCCACTTACAGCTGGGTTCAACTAAGCCATGGAAAACACATTTTAAATGGAATGGAGAAATGTAAAATTGTCCATTCATTTAAAGACTCACACACCCTCTTTTTTTTTTTTTTTAAGATTTTTTATTTAGACAC